AGATGCCTGGCTTGACTGTATACCACTAGAAACTATTTTTCCTATCTAGCTGTAATTTTGTGTCCATTAATCAACCTCTTCTATTCCCCATCCTCCCTTCCCTTTCCCACCTCTAGTAACCACAGTTCTACTCTCTCTTAATAGTAAGTTCAACTTATTATTTACTTACTTATTAGCTTCCACATATGAGTGAGAACATGGGGTGATACCATATTAACTTTGCTCCATTGATTATATGATGCTCCATCAATTTAATGCAACGGTGTTTTTTTTGGGGGGGGTGAGTAAAAATTACATTAAATGGGCATAATGATTGTAAGATACATCCTAATTTCAGAAACACAAAAATGAGTACCTTCACATTGAGGAAATATATTATCTGCTTCATGCCTCCATTATATAGAACACAGAAGAATATTTGTGAAGTGCCTAGTAAGTAGTCTGATAAGTAGTCTATTCAAAAATAGTTGCTTATTTTTATTTATCAGTCAGTAATAATTCTTGCTTTACTGCCTTATCTCCATGGACAGTAAGATTGTGGTTTTAATTTGTAATTGAAACTGAAATGTAACTGCTGGTTTATAATTCTATTTTTTCTCCCCTTAAAAGCATCCTGACTTGGAAAGATGTGAACTCTCAATTTCTTTAATTTGTTTCTAGGAATAAGAAATGGCAGCAACAAAATCTGTGATTCAGTCTGGTGCTTGTATTTGCCATGCTTTTGCTTATATTATCACATTTAACCCAGTGATAGCAACCCTAACAGATTGATTTAAGAGTATATTAGAGAAGAGAGACGTTTCACACATAACAGGGAGGGGAATGAACTTGGGCCGTAGGCTGAGCATAGAAGCAGCCTCAAGGTTTGGATTTAGAACTCTAGTGGCTAGTGTTGTGGTATGTATACTTTAAAATCTTTCCTTAACAGTTCTGTCCATATTAGACAGTTATGCTATGATCTGTGGATAAGGTTGCCCATTAGATCATGGCTTCGTTTTTTAACTTTTTATTGAGTTACACAGTACACAAGCAGGAAAGTGTATGTATTATAAATTTATAGCTTGTTGAGTTTTCAAAAATTCAAT